ATCCGCCAAAAAACAGTAGAAAATCAGATTAAAAATGGATACATAAAGGATAGATATCGGGATGATAAAGGGATACCGATATGCATTCTTTATGTATTTATTGAACCTGTGTAGTGTTGCAGGATAATAGCATTCAGCAAGTTGTGGCTATAGTAAAATTGTATATACCTATTATGCTGCAACTAAGCTATAATACTGTAACTATAACAATTCTAAAACAAAGTTTTCTGGATAATTCATTCAGGCAGCAAATTTTAGTTATAGTATGATTACAAAAACTCAAATTTATATTTTAATTATTATTTTGTTAAATTTTTTTAAGTAGTTAATTGTGTATTTACAATTTTTTTACAGATCCGAACCGGACCTGAGCCTATATAATATGGTTTTGGACCCCAACTTTAGATCAAATTTGGTGTTCGGACCGGGTATGGATCTTTAAAAATACTTGCTTGGTCTGAATCATATGAAACACTACATACAACATTGCAGAAAATTTGTTGTCTATGCCTGCGAGGGCTATATTAAGACAACTATTGCAATATTTTAGCCAGAGACGAAATCTGGCAATGATACTTAGATGAAAAAAAGCTCCAAACATGGAAGCCAACCTAGTGAAGGCAGAAGAAAAGCAAAGACTATCGCTATACGATGCCATATTCGCATAAGAAAGAACCCCATTGTAGCTATTCTAGACTCTGGTGCTATAGTAAGCATTATTACTAGGAGGTTTATGAACAGATTAGGGTTGGAAATTGATAAGCTCTCAAAGACTATTATAATAACAGCAAATGAAAACTAAACTAAGGCCTTAGGAATAGTTAGTAAAGTAAAAATAGTTCTACAGGATCTTATTATGCCAATAGACCTCTAGATTATAGATTCACAGAAGGAAACTCTGTTATTAGACATTGACTGGTTCGATAAGTCACATGCCAAGCTCTAACACTCTAATTGTCAAATACTTAGATAAACAAGTTACAGTAAATATGACTCATATAAGTGACAATAGCTATTGGCAAAAGCTAGAAGAATTTACTGACAAAGAAGATTGGATAGATGAACTAGAACAAGACGATGAAGTTCATCAAGCCTTCTATAGTAACCTATCTTCTGAAGAAGAAGAAGACCTATATTATAATCCATAAACAGAGAATAATCTGGCTATCTATTTGACAGAAACAACACAAGAACAACAAAAAAAGGATATAAGAGCGTTTGAGATAAACCAAACCTCAATAACCAACAACTGCAGCAAGCAGAAGACTTATAGCATTAATAAAAATGTGCAAGTTTTTGCAGAAAAGATAAGTAAAAATGGGCAAATAGTTGGTTTAGGCCAAACCAACCTAGTGTGCTATGAAATAGAAACCAGTAGTGCTAGACCAATTAAACAGCACCTGTACACTGTAGCTCATGATAAGCAAGAATTTCCGAATAACGAAATTCTTGCTATAAAAAACAAGACATCATTTTCCTAATTAAGAGTCTTCGGACTTCTCTGGCAGTCCTAGTACCTAAAAGAAGAGAATATGTATCAATTACTACAAGTTAAATATAGTTACAAAAAAAGACATATATCCCTTACTAAACATCAACAAAGTCTTATTGGAACTCGAAAGTGCCAAGTAGTTTATTAGCTTGGACTTGGCCAGTGGATACAGGCAGGTAGCTGTTAGAGAAGAAGATAAAAAGAAAACAGCCTTTATAATTAAGTTTGGCATTTATACATTCAATGTAATGCTATTTGGTTTGTGCAACATGCACTTGACCTAATGAACAATATTCTAGACCCATTTATCAACAAATTCATTGTCGTTTACTTAGACAATATTGTTATCTACTCTAGAACATTCGAAGAGTATATGAAACATTTGCAGCAGGTCTTCGATGAAATTAGAAAAGCTAAACTAAAATATAACTTGGAAAAATATTCATTTTTCCTAAACAAAATTAAATTTTTAGGTCACATAGTAAGTGACCAAGAGATCTATCTGGACAAAGAAAAACTGGATAAAATAAAAAACTTTCTAATACTAGTTAATATTAAACAAATATAATCGTTTTTGGAACTTGTATCATATTATAGAAGGTTTATTAAGGGTTTCTCAAAGATAGCCAAACTCCTCAATAAATTGCTAAACAAGAATGAGCCTTATCACTAGACAGAAGACCAAGATAAGCTTTCCAAACCTTAAAGAATCATCTAATAACAGCCCCAATTCTAAGGTATCCTAACTATAGTAAGCTGTTTTACCTATATACAGACGTATCCACCTTGGGACTAGAAGCTATTCTGGCCCAATTTGATGAAAATAACAAGGAGTATGCTGTTTCTTATGCAAGTAGAAGCGTAAGCAAAACTGAAAAGAACTACTCAATCTCAGAGTTGAAATATTTGGCTGTAATTTGGACAGTCGAATATTTTTATTAGTATTTGGGATCAAAATTATTTTACCTAATAACTAACTATTTAGTCCTTCAATGGCTAAGAACTTCAGAGCTCAAGAGCAAACAAGCAAAATGGATAATAAGATTAGAGCCATATAATTTTACAATTATACACCACCTTGGCCAAAAACACAGTAATGCTAATGCCCTACCCAGAATATATACTGATGAAAAAGAAGAGAAACAAGAAGTATATATATTAAATGTGGAAGATAATAATTCCATAAAAAGTAAAATCTGTGGGCAATCATTTTATATCTAGTGATAATAGAAAAGAAGTTCCAAGAAAAGAATTAAAATTATAAAAATCAATCAGGCAAATTAGTAACAGGTCTTATAGAAAAATTCAAAGTGAAATAATAAAGATATTAAAATACGATCCACCCAAAGGATTAGTTGAGTATCTCCGTCCATATAAGGATATAGAATTCACTTCTGAAGGTATTAGGTATGATCAACAACACTGTACCTGGTATTATATCGAACACATTAGTGATTGATTAAACCAGAAAACAAATGAGAAACATTTAACCTGAGATTGGAAAGGACCTACTGCTTAATGTTAGTGCAGCAACAAATTATACTCACTATCGGATGAGTGTAATAAGTGTTATAGTGACCTCAAATTATAGATTACAATTAAATAACACCCAATTAATGAAGTTGCTAAGTGCTATTAAATAATCTTAAACGATGATGAATTGGTTAACTACTACCACAAAAATGATTATATGTGAAGTAATGATGAATCCCTAAATAATTTTACTTGAAACAGTATCAACCTTATAGATGATACACCTATAGAAAGATGGAAAAGTGATAGTGTAAGTGAAAACCTCCTGCTAAACTTTACTGATAAAGGAGAAGAAAACACAATATTGTTTTCAACAGACCTAAATGATTTACCTTGGTGGTTAGACTTATTGAAGAAACCATTTGAACATTATTATAGAGAATTTAACAACTTCTCTAAAACTTATCTTTGTAACTCTATTTGGTGGGAGACCACCAACCCAGTCAAGTATCTTTAAGGTACAACCTAAACCTTATTTATTTTGTCTACAAAAGATGAAAAACTTTGCAGGTCAGTCCCTGCTACCATCATCACAACTTCCAGAATATTACAAGCCGGAAGAAAAACATACAGAATAAACAATTAATATTAAAAAAAAAAAAAGATGGAAACCATTAAATACAATAGTATTGTTACAAGTGGGGTAGCCTTCTTAATTTACTACCTGCAATATAGCACACAGCAACAGGGATCTCTAATACAACAGGGCAAGATATAAAGCAGTGTGGAAGTGGAATGTTTCCTCACTAGAGCAGTTCGGTATATTCATTAGAAGCATAGAAACATGGTTTACTTTAGGACAAAGATATGTTTATTTATTTATAATATAATGTCTAGATACAAAGCTATCTACAGGTATCTATTTCTATAGAATCCTAATATTTAAAACATTGCAGGGAACAAATCCTTCAGTACAAGAAAGGTAAAAGCTAGAGTTTATATAGCTTTTACAATATATATAAAAGGTATAAAAAGTACTAATGTATAAAAGGTATAAAAGATATAAAAGGTACAAAAGGTACAAAAAGTATAAAAAGTATAAAAGGTATAAAAGGTATAAAAGATACAAAAGGTATAAAAGATACAAAAGATATTGTTACAATCTTCTGGATTAAATAGAGATAAAGTCTCTAATATGTCCTATAATGTTAACTCATTCTATAACATTTCTATCACCTTTAAAAACGAACTCCGTAAGTTAATAGTTTATTTAAATTGTCCAATAGAATTATCAAATTTTTGCACGTTGTGTCAATCATGATTAATTTAGAATAAGGTATATTCTATATAGTGTGGTTTCTGGTTCTAAGAATTTTTCTTTTTCTCTTTTTGTTAATATTAATAATATCAACAATATTAACTACAATAACATCAACAACAACAACAATAACAATAATAACAATAATAATCATTAAAAATGTCTCGCACTCATATTTCACGTGCTGTCTGACATTCTCGACGTAACGGTAATGAGTCTCTTTATGAGGCTCTTATCGGAGTGCAAGATCAAAATAGAAGGTAAATATTTACTGATTCTTATAATAGTTTTCAGTAAAAGATTAATTTTGTAATTTATATCAGGCTGTGGCGAGAAGTAAGATCTTTAAGGTGAATAATTGTGGTGTTGGAAGCAGAGTTAGAAAAAATTCATTTTTGGGATGCGGAGTCAGTAGAAGAGAATTGGAGAAGAGATAAGAAGCATTGAAGGGTTGTTTAAGAAAGAAATCGGTTGCAAGTTCAAGTTGCTAAGTTGGAGAGTCGTATAGATAGTGTTGCAGTAGATTTAGATATAGAATTTGATTTGTAATTTTCTTTTTTTTGTATATATATATATTATGTTATTACTCTCTTTTTCAAATAAAATAAATATATAAACTAAAAAAATAATAATAATAATAATAATAATAATAATAATAATAAAAATAATAATGATAAAAATAAAATGAAATAAAAAAAAAATCAATTATTCGAATACTTCAACTAAGGGCTATACTGAACTTGGTACCTAGCAGGCAGCTCCTTTAGCTAGTCTCGAACTTGGGTCTGCATAATGACAGCCCTCTGCCATGTAGGGTAGGTGGTATGGGGTTTATGGACATGACCTTAGGGCATGCCTTTAGAGCAAAAGGCATGCCCCTATTATATGATTACAGAAAGATCGTCATAAATATGATTGGTCAATATAATCAGTTTGAATTCAGAATCTTTAACAGTAAAATAAATAACTTTACATATACTAGAGTTTAGAACTGAATTCGGTCTTCGATTTTAAAACTGATTTTATTCGATTCGAATTTGAATTTGAATATGAGATTTATTTAATATGAAGACCGGTTTTAATAAAACTGGAGATATTCGGATTTATATAATACAATAAGTTAAAATTCAGTTAATTGGGGTTATAAGAAATTATAAAAGTATAATCCAAACTCTAACTAACATATACTGTAGTTTTATAAAGTACTAAAATGAATATTTTATTAACTCGCATAATGTAGATAGGCCTTAATTTTTTTTTTTGGAATAAAAAAGTTTGAATATTTATTATCAATAAATTTAGCTTTATATGTACATATCAGATTTTGGTGTTTTTTCTTGCTAAGTTCGCTTATATAAATATTTAATTATAAAATAAATTCGAATCTGAGTTAATTCCATAATCTGGAAGTTGTAGTTGTTACTAAGGCATGTAATACTAATGAAACTATTCTCAAAGAATTACCCTAGCCCACTTTATTGTTACTACATATTTATTTATTTATTTGTATTTGTACCTTTACAACATGCTTACCATCAGTTTCATCGTTGTGCATATAATCAATTATACATAATTCGTTATGCATACAATTGTTATGTATAATTCGTTATATATACGATTGTTATGCACAATATCGTTATGCATAATGTTGTTATGCATCGCTTGAAGATAAAATAAAAATAAGAATCTAGACAATAGAAAATTCAAATATAATAAGTAAATATGAGTTTTATAAAAAGCATGTAAAAGACTTTTGTAGAGGCAGAATTCAGATGCTTTAAATACTTATCTTCAAATTAAATTGCCAAACTATTGAAAAATCGTTAAATAAAAAGTTGTTAAATAATATCACTATGCAAGTCTCTCCTTCGGGTTTTACCATACCCCTTCCAACACAAGGTCTATGTTGGTTTGGTTTTTTCTGTTTTGAAAATAAAGTAGGAGGAAATAGATACACTGCAAAATATAAATATTGTTTAGTTGAACTAAGTAGTAAACCTGAAAAGCTTCATTAGCATGTTACTCGATATAAAGACTGGAATATTACTGAAAAAACTACCTATCTTCATAATGTTGCTAAAGAAAGTTTTTTATCTCGCAAGCACAACTGTGATGAAGAAGATATTTTAGTTGATCTGACTATCCAAGATGATGATAACACGTCAGAGTCTTCTATGTTCTATCTTCATCAAGAAACTATTGTTAAATAGTTCGTTCTATCTTTATCACGAGCACAGTCTAAAAATTTTCATCAAAAGCTTCTAAAGCTATGATTTATAGAAACATTTCTTTTTACCTTGTTGAGAATTCGTATTTTCAAGACTTTCTTAACGAATTGAATCTATCTTATCATCCTTCTTCTTGAAATATGGTTAAGGGGTGCCTTTTAACCAAGATGTTTTCTAACCATACTTTAGAAAAGTTAACTACCCTTCCTGCTTTTACCGACCTTACGATTTCTCTCGATGGATGGACCGATAATTCAGGAAATTCAACTTATGCATTTATGGCTCTTAAAGAACATCAAGAAATTGTGCTGGATATTCAAAATTTATCTGCATATCGCAATACTGCAGAATTTCTTGAAAATAAAGTAATGGAGGTTTTGTCTACAAATAGTATTCAAGCATTGTCGGTTATTGTATATATCACTGACAACTCCTCAAATATGAACAAAATGAGAAGACTAATTTATTTTTTTTTTTGGTATTAAGGTGACCTCTTTGGTCTGGGAACTTTTTATTAGAGTATAGACGAAGTTTTATATATAATTACAACGATGGTACATCAAGCCACACGTGCACCTT